TATATTACCACAATTTTAACTTACATTATTAGATTTTAGTACAGTGAAAATATCAAGGGATAGTGAAATAAATTAAGATCTGCAACTCTGCATAAACTTGCTCAGTTTTCAACATATGCTGATAGTGCTGTCTGAAGAATACAACTTTCTGATAGAAAGTAGCATTTTCACTATACTTTGATTTAGCTTTATGATTTGCTGAATAGTGCTACACTATGTAGATAATCGATAATTTGATGTTTGTCCAATGCATTAAGTTATAAATTATGCATATTGGTATACATACAGGTAATCCCTGATTTACAAACATTTTAACAACCAGGCGAAGTTATAATAGCCTCGGAAAGGTGCTGTATAGCCCATAAAGCATTTCTGGATATTGTAAAACATAACACTGCTGTCCCTTGTCACATTATCACGATCTAAGTGCTTGGCAACCCATTAACACTTATGATCAATTGCCAAACCTGCAGTCATATTCCATTTGCAGTTTTCTCTGGTGGCTTCCCCAGAAAATCTGTGGGGAAGCTGGTAGGAAAGACTGTAAACTACTGTTGCCTGTCAAGAGGTCTTCCTCTCTTCTCTGCGGCTGACTGAAAGAGGTGCTTGCCAAGGGGAGATGAACTCCTTTGGCAGAGTAGAGAAATGGAGCGCAGATCCTGAAAATCTGAGCTAGCCATTCCTGCAGCCTGTCAGAGCAGTTCCCTTCCACACATGGAGGAGCCGAACTCCTCCAATGGGGTGTAGAAATAGAGTCAGATCCCACAGATTTCAGATCCTGAAGATTAGTTTAAACAAAATAGTTTGTTCCAGTAATTAAAACTAATTGTTAGTTATATTCAATCAGGAAAATCAATATATCTTTGACTCAAAATTGGAAGCATGATAGAAAAAAAATATGACACTGGAGTATCAAGCTCATTTCCAAAGTAATTAAAACTAAATTGAGCTTGGCAGCAGGTTTCACAATATAACTAATTGACAAGCAGCCTTTGTGTCTTTAAGGTGCTTATGCCTTGTCCATCAATGTCTTAGTATAATGAAAAATACAAATGAATCATTTGTGAAGTGGTTCAGAATCTCAATAATTTGAAGGAAAGAAATTAAAAAATACTCTCTTCAATGTATCCACTAGGTGGCAATAATAACCAAGTAATGTTCACATCGATTCTTGCAGTATTTCATGACAAATATGCTTGCATGTATCATAATAGGTATTCAAATGCTGGTTTATTAAAAGTTTTATTTTAAAAATTATTTTATCATAATTCAATCTTCCTTAACCCTTTGTGACAGTACATGTTTACAGGGTTAGTTAAAAAGGTGAGGGAGGGCTCTTGGGGCACTAACCAGGCCCACGGCTGCATACTTCCATGAGCTCCCCATGCAAGATTGCAGACCCATATTTTAATTCCTTTGCAGAAGGCCAGTAGAGTGGGGGCCTCTCTCGCCTTCCTGTTCCACAGGGCTAGGGCAAGGGCAGAAAATGCTGCCTTCCTCTCTCTTCCTTTTGTCTCCTCAAAAACCAAAAATGAAAGGTTTTCTTTGGGAACCACAAAATAAGTGCTGGAGAGAGCATGGGTTTTGATTTATGCCTGTAAGTTGAGCATGCCAATGTATATATGTCCTATACACTCTGATTATGTTTATTTCTCTTTCTTTCAGAGCAAATGATCTCTCTGGGAATTTTAAGGTATCAATATTTCCAAACCGTTTTGCTGCATTAAAAGTATATGTGGCATTATGTTTGCAAACCTATTATTTATAGAACAAAATGGACATTTACAAATAAAATGAAATAACAGAGATCAAGCAAAAAAAGCAAAATTTCACTATACAGCACTAAGGAGGAACTCAAGAGAAACTAATTTGTAAATATGAGAAAGAGGAACTGAATTGGAAGTTTTTCTCTCCCAGAGGGAATATATTTGAGTTCCTCTTTAGTGCTGTATAGTGAAATTGAAGAGGAACTAATTTGTAAATGTGATAATCATATGAGAGGCAAAAATGCATTGGTCTAACTGGAAAAAAAAATAAAAATCTATATATAAAAGAATAATATTCTCATCTAAAACATAAGGGCTTGCTGAATTTTGCCACCACACTTCCTAAGTAATGAATTATTTTGGTATGTATTTTAGTTAAGTATTTGCTATGTTAAATTCAGTTTAAATTGGATTGTTTTTACTACCACTGACACAAAAAAATAGTGTGGGTAGAATTTTCTTTTCTTTGCTTGAAAATTGGAATATAGTAAATATATGAAGCAATGCTGATACATAGTTTTTCTCTCCCCGAGGGAATATATTTGAGTTCTTGACTTGGCTTGTTTACGATATTTCATTGAAACATGCCTTCTCTTTTGAGAACACTGATGCAAAGATGTTAATTCTGCCTTCTCCTTGATCCCCATTATTATAGCAAGTCTAACAATCTCCTTCACTCGGTTTCCTTTCAAAAATGTCTCAAAATTTCTGTGGAGGTTCTCAGTCATCTGACTGCAAAGAATATAAATCCTTCCATTCCCCACCAGTTTGTTAGAACTGAAGAAGTGAAATATCTTCAAGAAAAATCAAGAAAGTCCAGTTGCCTTTTTTTTAAAGCACCTTTGGGACACCTTGGAATTTTCCTTCTTACTATGTTGTACAGTTCTTGACAATTCCTGAACTTTAGCTTTTATCACTCCAGGGCCATCTGTTTTGATTCTTCCTTAGATATTAGCCAATTTTTATTTCACAAGATCTCCTTTTGACTTCTCAGCTTTTCAGTGAGCTTGCTTGTTTTATTCGTGCTCTTAAAACGTGTTCAGTTTGTCCCTCTCATTAGAATTGTTTGTGCCAATGCTTTCAGGATCTTGGTTTTCAGCATCTCCCATCCTTCTTGGGCTTCTTTATCCTTTAAGATTTTAAGCCATGGGACACTGATCATCTTTCAAATGAATTCATTAAAATCTGCTTTCTCAAAAGTGCAAGGTATGTGACTTAGTTCTTCTGCATTCCATAATTAACTTAAGTGCTGGCATGATATGATTGTTTTTCCCAATGTCATTAACATTTTCAGTCCAATTCCCCTTAGTCAGAATTATGTCCAAGACGGCTATCTTTTCATTGTTCTGACATACGAAATGGTCAACTGGAGAGATTGTTCATTTATTGGATCTCTCATTCCTGCCCAATTTCATTTTTCATCAGGTATCGGGTGGTTGAAATGTCCCAATATCTCCGCAATTTGCATTCTTGAGAGTTTAGTGGATGATTTAAAAAGACATTATCCACATCTTCTACATGAGAGAAGGGTTAAGCAAACGTGGTGGTATAGTTTTTTACATTTTTATTCATTTTAAATCTTATTCAGATGCTTCTTAACTCAGAGTAATTTTACTGTGCTTATTAAGCAGCACAAAATGCTTCCATATTCAGGAACATTGATTTCTTTATAAGTGTACAAACTATTTCACCTCTGTTTATGTAGGGATTTATTTTTGAAAGCTAATATCCTTCGAGTTCTACTTTCCACTAGCTATTCAAATCCCACCAACTTTCTGTGATATCGTACTTTCTTTTCAGAAAGGTTTCTTTCTGATAGTTGCCTATATTCTCCATTAATATGTGTACAAACACTGAAAGATACCGGTCTCTTCCGTCCTACCATGTATTGATGATTTCCAGATAATATTTATTGCATTATACATTTATACATTTGTTAACGACATGTGTAAGACCTACTACTTTTCTAGCTGAATCTCTACCTATATCTCTTGTCCTTCCTGACATGTTAGCAACTACTGTATATTCTTTCCTGCCTTTGTACAATGCAGCACATATCTGCCTAAAAGCTTATTATACTAGTGTATATGTCATGGTCCATAAATCCAAATCTTTCTTCCAGTTTACTGCTTTCCTTTATAGTTCCTCAAATCCCACAGAGAGGATAGATGAAAATACCTTTTCACATTTTCATTTATAGATTTGTATTTGCTTTTAATTATCTACCTTTTCTGGCTGCATCATTTATCCCCTTGGGTTCAGAAATTACGGCTAATGATCAGTTGATTTCATGAGCACTGGTCATCTTTCAACCCATCTTTTTCACAGGACTAGGCAGTATGCCTCTCATAATAACTTGTCTGGTGTACAACTCTGTTCCTGTCCTTTGCAGTAGTATGTCTTCTACCACCAGCATTTTTCCCTAAGTGAAGGGCTTTGATTATTTGTTGATCCTGTAGAGCTGAGTCCTTTATTGCAGAGAGGTTGGGGCAATATAAATATCTCAGGAAGCTGCAGATCACTTTCCATGTCTGGAGCCTCAAATCAGTTTCAATTGTTTGCTAAAAGGACAACATAGTACCTGAGCTATATATTACAATGCAGTCCACTTACCTAGACAGCAAATGATTGCCTTGTCAAAGTCTCAAGAATGAACAGTGAAACATTATTGATTTCATCTTCTGTGACTATTTTAAGGTTTTAAAGTAAACATGAGATTGACTATTTGCAAAAAATCCTATTTATTACAACCTAACTGTAAATTAACCTGTTCTTTGTTCTTGTAGCCACTGGAAAAGAAGTTTGTGCGTGTTTCAGGAGAGGCAACAATTGGACATGTGGAAAAATTCCTCAGAAGAAAGATGGATCTTGATCCTGGCTGTCAGGTACACTGTAATAATTCATATAATATAATTTTTACCTTTTTTTGCTT